AGTTTATTTTGGTTATTCGGCAAAAATTGATAGTTTATTTTGGTTATTCGGCAAAAATTGATAGTTTATTTTGGTTAATCAGCAAAAATTGATACGTACTGTACGTACGTATGTGTGTATCATACATATCGTAATATGACAAAGCATTAACTAGTCGAATTGTATATTGTAGTTACTTGGTTTTAAAATTCTCTTTACTAGGCCAATACATAATATAAATTTTCAGATTTTAAATTCTCTTGGATAGTTGAAACGTATAATACAAAGCACTTTAATTCTTTAATTTATAATTTTTATATTAGAAAATACATCTTAAAAATGTATTAACTACATATATATTCAATTTATATTAACATGCTCAGCAGTTATATAATAATTTTTAATAACTGGTGCACTAGAAATATTTTTTTCAGATGTATCTTCATAAGAATTATCTTTACGCGGAGCTTTATGAATTGTTCGACGTCCACCAAGTGTAGGATTTCGTTTTGTAGCATTGATATGTAATGGTAAATTTGCTTTGGCAGTGTTATGCAAGGGTTGACGGAATGGCTTCATTAGGTTAGAATTATCAAATGAAAGAGTCTTGGGCTAAAAAAAAAAAATAAATTAAAATAAATAAATAATATTTTATATTTATAATAAAACAAATTGTATACATACACGTTTTGAATTCGTAATAACTTTATCGTCCTGTAAATAATCCAAAGTTAAAATTGATCAAACCTTAAATATTCATATTTGAAATAAGACTATTAATACTTTTGTTAAAGTTTCTTGTTCTTGTAAATTAGACGGTAATGTTCCAACGCTATTAATTAATAAAGACAAAGCATCTTCTTTTTGCTTGTTAGAAGGCCGAGCATAAATCCGATAGGATGACTCACTTTTATGTCTAGTAATAGACATAGTGGTACCCATTGCGACACCCTTTTGAAAAAGGGAAGTGATTGGTGTTGATCGGCCCAAGTGATTTACAATATCACGACCTTTTATGTCAATTCCTACTGCATTACAAATAGGGGTGTTAAAAAACTTGAGTAAACTCGAGTCGACTTGGTGTAACATAGAGGTCGACTTAGTCGACTTCTAAATGACTCAAAAAATCATATGACTGATTCTCTAGATTTTATAGATTTTATTATGATAACGATAAAATAAACTATATACGATATACAGAACTAATA